TTTTCCAAATTCAAAAGAATTTGATTATTTTGTTCACTAAGGAACTTAACTAACAAGCTTAGCTTGTTATAAAAATTCTCAAAAATTTTTGAAATTCAATGAAAAAATTAGCAGCCTTGAGTTAAATCGACTCAAAAATGGCTGAAAAAGCACTGCCCAATGCCAAAGTTCGAGAGAGAAAAATCGCAAAGTTGCGAAAGCGAGAGCCGGAAATTGCTACTCAGCTATTGAAATTGATATACACACGTGCGGGCTGCGAACTCGAACGAGTTCAAACGCGCCAACGGCAGACGTCGACAATCTGCGTTGTGCGAAAAAATGGCCGCCGCACACACGTGTTTAGCCGGCAAGTCGTGTTCACACACGCAACGGCAAGGATTTTCGGCCGCGCGTAATGGCCGCGAACTCGACACTCGCGAAATTTGGCACTCGCGAACTTAATGAAACTGATGCTAATTCGCTGTTAACTCTAGCGAACTGCTGAGTTAAAGTGATGAGATATGCGAGCAGCAAAATCACTCTAGAACTTTATTTTAATGTAAAATTTATGTCACTCGAAAACTTTATTTAATGTGAAAAAATTTATCACTCTCTTGCTCGAAAAAACTCACGACCCGGTAAGAAAATTCTCGACTTTTACGAGGTCACCACTATCGCGTTTATTAAGATAAGTGTCTGGGTAGACTTGGACCAGGGAGGCGAAGACACCCTGTGGTAGGTTGATCAGAAGGAGTTCACGGGTTAAGTGAGATAGAGTGAGGTAATTAGATTGCATATATTTATTGTGTCGGCACGAAGGCCAGAGTGACTGCTGTGTGTGCTGCTCGCCGGGCAGGTTAAGACTGGCAACTTCTCTACACGCAGCTGCTGACTGATCCGCGACCATACAGCAGCGCTCCCGCATCGCAGCGGCCAAGCGGCAACTACTTCTACTGTGCACGCCACAATTCTGAACCTTGCTTGTGGAGTCAATATGAAGCTGTGTTGGCACAAAGTACACGCACAAACAACATCTCCGAAGGCTGGCACAATAGGCTTCAAGTCGTAATGGGAAAGGATCACCCTAGTTTATACGCTTTCCTCGCCGAACTATAGAAAGAGCAAGCCGATACAGAAATAATGTTGAGGCAATTGCACGTAGGGCAAAGAATAAGAAAAGGTCAGGATCCAAAACGAATAAAAAGGGAAGTGCGTATACTTTCCATTGTCAGCAAGTACTATGAATACTTACAGAACGATGACATTATGACGTACTTAAAATAGATCGGCCACAATATTTATTTATAAGTTTTTTATAAATACTTTATAAAAATATGTATTATAAAAAAAAGGTTTTATAAAATTATGAATTATAAAAAAAGGTTTTTATAAAAATATATTTTATAAAAAAAAGGCTTTATAAAAAAATGACTTCATAAAAAAAATTTTATGAAAAATGTACCCCAATCGACTGTAAATACCCATGAGGCATATGCCGTGCTGCGATGTATCGTGATAAATAATTAATATGTGTAACATATTGCATCAATCAAGTTTCAACAAACATAGAAATTATCCATGTTTTTTGCAGGATTCTGAAGTAAGTTTTTAACCAATTTTTATGGCTGCCCTCTTAAAGTCTTGGTAATGGTATTCTCTTCCACTTAAGTGTAACAGAAAATTTTACTGAGACATTTTTCAAAATTCTGTTACCCTGTGAGTTTCCGTGAGTTTTTGATACTCCTTTTCTGTTGTCGTCTTGTGAGTGTAGTTCTCGCTTCAGGCGCCATCATGCGTTCCAGTGGAGCCTTGGCTCCCGCATCGGGCGCCCTCTTGTGAGTGTGGTTCTCGCTTCTGACTTCATCATGGAAATGTTGTGCTCCATCTATTGCCAGCCTTGTGAGTCCTCACTTTGGGCTCCTACTTATGGTTATCCTTTTCGCTTCCAGCTCGCACAGTGATCGGGGTGTTTTACCGCTTCGGAGGCTGATGATGTAGCTCGGGTCTCCTTTTTGATTGGTACCCGCTCCACCTCGGGCACGGGTTCGACCACACCAGGGGAAAAAACGAACTTCCAAAAGTGCGCCCGGTGGGGATCTACGCCCTTGAGCTTCCATCAATCCCTCAGCGGCGTCGTTCAATACAATCCACGAAGACCTGTTGCAAGTGCCTCAAAGTGTGTCTTAGGGTATCCGCCGTTAGGCATTGCTTCGGTGAGGCCGGGGTTAGTTGAGCATTTCTGCTACTTCTGTTAGTCGTTGTTTTTCCATACATCCCCCATCCGTCGCATAGTGATATGCGATGATTAGGGGTTCAGGGACTCATCTTCTTTCTGCTTGGTGAACCTCCAATCCTGCACGATGCCATCGTTGATTGTCGTATCCCCTTCTTCAGAGCTGTCTACTGCGTGGTCACACATTGCTGGCATCTCCTCCTGAGTTGGACATCTTCTTTAGAACTCGCTGTCTAGTGCTATCTTGTGAGTGTGGTTCTCGCTTCTGCCGCCGATGGCAAGTGCCCAATTTGCTCTGTCGGCTACATCTTGTGAGTGTAATTCTCGCTTCCGGCGCTACGCTGTGAGTCTCCGTGAGTTTTTGATACTCCTCTTTTTCTGTTGTCGTCTTGTGAGTGTGGTTCTCGCTTCTGACTTCATCATGGGAGTGCTGTGCTTCATCTATTGCCAGCCTCGTGAGTCCTCGCCTCGGGCTCCTACTTATGGTTACCCTATCGCTTCCAGCTCGCACAGTGATCGAGGTTTTTTACCGCTTCGGAGGCTGATGACATAGCTTGGGTCTTCTTTTTTGAGTGGTACCCGCTCCACCTCGGGCATGGGCTTGAGCACACCAGGCGAAAAAACGAACCTCGCAAATTCGCAAAGTGGGGATCGAACCCACGCCCTACGGCACACCTTGTATCAGCAGGCAAGAACTATACCCACTGAGCCAAGGAGTCATTTGGTCATTTCCCTACATCCCCCATCCACCACACGCCAAAGCGCGGTGATCAGGGGTTCAGAAACCGTGTCAACTCGTTGGTGATCCCCCGCTCGCCCCGCGGAGCCCTCATCCAGCGTCATTCCCGCCTTCCGGAGCCGTCTTTGTCGGTGCTCTCCCTTGTGCTGATGTTTCTTCTTCGGTACGTTCGTCTGAACTCGCCGGAAGCTAAACTAGTAACCGTCCTTGTGATAGAGGTCCGGGTCTCACCCACGACACCGTCCCGCTTTTCCGCCTCTTGCGAGCACCTCTCGCTTTTTCTGGCTTCCTCCATGATGAGTGGAAACTCCGTCGGTCAGCGCCAGCACTAGAAGTTCTGATATCGGGCTCCATCTCTTAGGATACGATGTTGGTGCCGAAGGGTCGGTGCTCTTCCTTGTGTTGGCGCTCTTCCTCTTGAATGATGCAATCCATTGGCCAACATCAGCACTAGGAGTTCTGGCTTTCGGGCTCCATCTTGCGGGAATTCTTCTCAGCTTGGGCCGCAGGATGATTGGAGGATATTTCACCCTCCAGGAGGCTGCCTACAGCCGTGGACCTACAGTTTATAGTGGAATCCGAACCACTTCGGGCTCGGGCTCGACCTCACCGAGCGAAAAATCACGAATGAAATTTCCCTCAGTGGGGATCGAAGCCGCTCCCTCAGCACAGCGTTGGTCTAGCAGATAGATGGCCCAACGCCTTTTACCCACTTGACCAACGAAGGCTGTTATGTGCGTGTGTGTGTGTGTGTGTTTGTTTTTTTTTTTTTTTTTGATGTATTAATATATTTTATTTAGCAGAAAGTGAAAATAGAAGTTTACATTAGGTAAAATGTAACAATAGAAGTGAGAATGTAACATATTGATTAAGGGTAAATAGACTATGTAGATACATCCACATCAAGTTCCCTTTGTTCCATCCCCGCGGAAACCGCCTACTTTTCATAAGACGGAGGAAACGATATAACTCATAACTACACTAATATTTAAAATTTTTTATACCTAAAATTAGTAAAGGTTTAACTGAACATAATTTTTTTTTTTAATGACGACATTAATAACATTTTGAAAATAATTTTTTTATCCTTTTGTTAACCATGGGGGGTTGGCGAGCGGAGCGTGCAGGGGAGCGGAGCCCCCCAAGTACTATTAAAAAAACCATTCTCGAATTAGATCATTATCCTTAAACAAGATTTATTATAAAAATTGAAATTGCAATATCTTAGCCCAAATGCTAAGATGGCGGAAAATATCACTCATGACGCAGACATCGCTTTAAAACTTATTTTTTTCATCAAAATCAGTCCCAGTTTTTGTATTTAGTTTATCATACTTGAATTAAAATTACTTAGAGAATGCAAAAATATTTTTTTTATTTCATTTTATTTAGCAATTAAATTATTATTATATATTTTTGTACGAACTGAGCGAAAATCGGGACATGAGCGAAATTCGGGACATTGACCTTATCATATAACTTGAGAGTTATTCAATAAGAAGCGTCCAAAAGTAGATGTCCGCCCATACACGGCGTGTTTAAAAGTCAATTTTCGATGACTTTATTCTCGAAAATTAGCATGACAACAGGGTCTGAAATTTTGCAGGGAGATTGTTAAATTACTCATTAATGTTCTCCCAATGTCAAGACCCTGAATGAAAAAAAGTTTAGGTAAAGAGTCACCTTAAATTTCCGAAGTCCCTTATCCGAATTTGATGGGCATTATTTTTTTGCAGGTTTCTTAATCACATGAAAGTCCCCCAAAAAAATTTTACAAGTGTGTTCTGAAAAAAAACTTTTTTTTAGTAGCAAAATATTAAAATTTCATCAGATTTACTTATATACATGTATGGTGCATTATATTGATTGCTCGAACAGATAAAGTTATTACTTATTTTATTAAATTAAACATTCAATTTTCAATATTTATAAATAAACAAAAACTATAAAACAATAAATATAAATTAACCAATAAATTATTCATTCATATTATAATATACAGTTTTTCCAAAATATTATATTCAATATTTAAAATAAAAATATTTTCAGGAACACTTTTGGATGGATGTATGTGCATTAGTATTTCTTATATTGGCTTTTAGAACATTGGCTTTTACTGCTCTACTTTTCAAAACATTTCGGAGAAAAAGCTGAATTTTTCAGTCATCCATGATGAAGTGCATAAGAAGAATAATTACTCGATCAAAGCTTCGTACAATCAACACTTTCTACTTTGTTACTTAAATAAAAATCAGATTATCCATTAAAAAATTTTTGGTGACTGTATAAAATTCAAACGTTGAACGAGGATGAATGAGTTAAAATTGTATAAATAAAAAAATATTTTAAGTTTTTATTTTTTTACACTTTACACACATCATTCTTTTTATCCATATTTTTCCTGATTAAGATTTATATATCTTAAGTTTGGGTGACACCGAGCTGCCATTTGGTGTTGATTCTTTCTATATGAAGATATTAAAAAATACTGAGCAACAACCCCTCAATGCACTCTAATTTTATATTATAATTCATCAATAAATAATTGGATAAAAATTTACTTTGGAAACGTGATTTCCAATGAAAAATTTAAACGAAAAATAAATTTAAAATTGAAGAAATTTAAAAAAAAATCAGCTGTTTATGAACAGCTGCAAGATGTGAAACATTAAACTCCGGTATAAATTCGCCATTTTAGAAATATAGGGGCTAAATAAAAATCGCAGCAGCGCATTTTTGGAAGGTTCAGAGAAAATATGCACGATTTCTGGTGATATGGGAACCCTCCGAAGGCAAGACAAGGTAGAAAATGGACTTTGAAAAAAAATTTTAAGCCAAAAAACCACGTTTTTTTTTAATTGCAAAAGAAACGATGATAATGTTTACTTATCGCAAAAATAATACTGGATTCTGAAAGAGCATACTCAAAAACCCCTGGGTATGGATTTTCAAGAAATATTTCAACTTTATCTATAATTTTTTTACAATAGAAAATTCATGCCCAAAATTGCACTTTTGTGCGTTAATGGGTTAAGATGATACACGCTCGTAGACACGTATAAATACATGCATTAATCAATATCAGATTTTACAACGTGCATGATATTGCGTAGTCTCGCGACGTATATCCATAGACAGCACATACGTATTTTATGTATGATCGTATACGCATAAGCAAGAGAGAGAAAGATATCTCAACGCAGTCGATCCCGTGAGCTAAGCTAACTGCGGTTGCTTATGTTGTTACGTTGCCTCGTGCGTATACCTAAACACAGCCATACGCGCGTGCGAGAGCGAGAGAGAAAGAGATACGTGCGTCGAGTTTCGGCAGCGGGCAGCAGCAGAAAGCAGTTCTATGTAGTTGGCGCGGCAGCCAATCACAGCGCGTAGCGCAAACCGACGCTGTATAGGCAGTTATACTACCAAAGTTGCGCTCGCTCGGACGGACGCTCGGTTTTTATGGGTTTACCCCTGATACCAAAAGCCATTGCGTCGGGTAATTCATCATACATCTCACTCCAAGGAATCTCTTCGTCAGGGAATTCAATTTTCGCTTCGGCACGAACTAATCGATCGCAGATCACTGACTCAATCTCTTGTAACTTACTTGCATTGCACGCAATCTATCAACTACGGTTTCGAGAGGGAATAGGGGAACCTCTCGGACGAGCTTACGACGGGCTCTCCCTAACGGTGTCGTTAAGCGCGATGTCGCTTGCACCCAAGTCTCCGGAACATTCATCCTCGCGGGTACCGAGTAAGGGAAAAGAATAAACCAAGGTTTCTACGTCAGATCAAATCGGGACGGCTATTCAAATACGTCAATATCAGAATTTTAACAAGGAAACGGCGTTACCTCGGCCGTGGTACCTACTCGTCTGGTGGTATCGCTGAGTATTGAATCACCTATGGTAGGCTCGAATCTCGATTCTCGTCCAAGTGCAATAATCTGCTTTGTTTGGTATTATCTGTCTGCTTCTTTGCCACAGCTGAGTACCGACTAAGATTCGATTCCCGATAGGTGAAATTAGGAGAACCTAGCCACGGAAAGTCTTAGGGGTACTGGTCCAAATAAAATGATGCGAAAAGGTGTGCAAATGAATGAAAATGAGAATAAGCTTGCTGAATTGATCGTTACAAACCGGTACTTTCAACAACTCAACTCGATAGAGCACGCGTTCGCGATCACGAAGTCCAAGGCCCTATGAGTAATATACAAATTTCGATAATCAATCCTTAATACTACTTACAATTCGTTGTCTTGGTCGGTGTGTTTTATTCTCACTCACTTCGATACGCACGTGAACAATTCCGAAATTCAGCTCGACACTTGGTGGAAATTCTGAGAAATTTCTAGCTCAAAGTAATTTCACTTTAAATTGAGTAATTCGATTAATAAGGCCCCGTGTGCCCCACGTTGGGCGCCATTGTGACGTGCGAGGGTCTGGGCGGTAGCCTGTGCTCGCCCTGCAGTCTAATTATTTGTTACTGAGGCTCCGGTTAGCCTATCAGGTCGTCTTACCTCAAAAGGGGGTCGAGCCTTCCACCAAGTGTGCCTCGAGCGTCGGCGATTCCGTGCTGAAAAGGTTGGAAAAGGTTCGCAAAATGACCACAAGAGGGAATTACGTTAAATCAAAGTCACTAATTTATTTATTCAAGTCAAAGTTATTATTCTTCTATTAATTAGCAAAGATTCTTAAATTACTACTCAATCGCGTTTAATTACCACGACAATATCAACAATCGCCGCAAAGTGACGTCCAATGACCGTAAGGGTACTCGCGTGACGAAGTCCAAGGGGAAACCGTCGAGTCACAACGCTCTCTCGGCTCGAATTCCGATATCGTGCCGCTCACTTGCACTCGCGCGTCTCCGCGTCACTGTACGCGAAACCTAATATCACGAAAAAGTCCAAGGGGAATCACAGGCTCGTAACACGTGCCCTGCTCGAATGCAAATATAGCCGATTATCGACACACGAACGCGCGCGACGCAAAAGCGACTCACTCGCCTCGGACGACTTACTACGCAATGACAAATACTACACTCGACTTAACCTATTCGCGACGTACTATTTCACACACACACACACAGTGACGTACAATACGCTACACTCTGCACACACACGACCGACCAAGAATGATTATAATACAAATTACTAAACGCTTACGACGTCTTCGCTGCGACTCTGCGATGCCATGCCTGCTGGCTGCTCGTTGCTGTGGGGCGAGGTTATGTCCGAGTCCGGTTGGATATCGGGTCCACGACACTTCTCGTTCGTCGACTCAACCTCTGTCGATAGGTGGTCAGCGCGATGTCTCTCGCTTGCTGCAATGTTCCCACTCTGCCTTAGACAAGGCCACACACGCGGCCAAAAACGCCTTGCTCCTGGAAAATTCCACGGCTCACATTATTATTTGACTAATATTGCGTAGCAGAGGTATTGTAATTTTAATTTTTATATACAGGGTGTCACAAAAATATGAGAACCTCCTAAAATTGGGCGAAATATGCGGAGAAAAAAAATCAAAATGCCCATATTGGACGTGTTTTTTGACGAGGAATCCAATAATGACTTTAAATTGACCTTGAAAATAACCTCAAAGCTATAGCGACATAAAAATTTGGTATAAAATGATGACATAGTACGATACTTTTTTTGTCCATATAAACTAATGTAAAAACGGACCCGGTATTCGTGCAGGATTCGCTATTCGTGGTACTTTTTTAGAAACAATTAACCACGAATAGCGGGTGTCGACTGTAAAATGTTCTTCACAATGTGAGTCACAGTTTCAGAAGCAATGAGCATTCTAGTCTTGCCTCTGATGAAATAATTCCTATTACCAAATCTACTATACACTGCAAAACCGATCACTGTTAAGAGTACTGAAGCCGACTCAGTAAACACCCCAAAGCAGCGACTTAGTAGCCACTACCAAACTTTTCAGTAGAGCGCTCTATAGTCAGGTGCCGGTAACGTTTACTGATTCGACGCGGTATATGTAAGACAAACGCAGTGCGCAACCGGTGACGTATATGTCGGCAGACATCAGTGAATAAATTTTTACCAGTAATTCAAATTTAGTGCTAAACGAAAAAGATGGATGATTTTACAAAAAATCTGCTTACCACCTGGACCTAAGAAAACTTCATAGCTAGATTTCAAAGTAAGTTAACATTCTATGTTTTTCTTAACCTCTCAACTTGTATGTTTGTGCAAAAGTAAGTTCGGGTTGGTGTTGAAATCGGTTCCTTTCTAGGCATGGATGAAAAATTGTGCATTTCAGAAGCTGGTGTGGACGAGGAAGTTATGCATGACATAAGTGATGAAATGTTGAATAATTTATTTCATTCTGATGAATGCGGCTTCAGACAAAAATTCATCAAAAGACGTACTCTGTGGAAAGCAAATTGTAGTCCCCACAGTCTTCAAGTGAGAGACGTCACGTCCCTTATCCTCAATCACTTTCCAAGACTGTCAATATCACGTTTATTTATAGCTCTTTGTTGCTTGTACCTAAATTAACGAAACTATTAAAATTAATCATTATGCCTCGAAAAGCAGCTGTTTCTGATTTAGATATTTACAAAGTATTAATATCGTTGCCAATATTTTGTTCGGATGGAAACTTAGAAAAAGAGGTTAGACCCGTGTGGCAAGAAGAGATAATAAAAAAATAGGAAAAATTTGTACTTGAAAGCGTTACAAAATAAATATGGGCTACTTGAAAGATTAAAAAATGAAAAAAAAGTGGAACGTGACTCCAAAAATAGTTTTCCTGTAGTACGTAGCCATGATGATGATGCAGCTAATTACGCGAGTGAAGATGCAGATAATTTTGTGAGTGATGTTGATAGTTCTCATAGTGATGTTACTGCTTCATTTAGCGAACAAAGTGATCATAGTTTTTTGGAATTAGATGAGGAATTAAAAGATGAACACGGAAATTGTGTCATTTTAAAAAATAATTTGAGAATAGATAAGAAAGAAAACATGAATCCAAGCAATTGTGCGCCTTTCTACTTTATCATAAATCTAACTCGAAGCTTATTTATGAAAATAAAACCAAAAAAAGACGTTTACCACCAAGAAATTGGTCTTCAAAAATTTGTAGAGAAATTTATGATCAGACATGGTTGCTATGTCGGTATAGTTCACTAATTAATAATTTATTTTTAACTTGTTTTTGCCTTTACTGGCTTTACAAGGTGAGTCTCATAGAGTGTAATCGTTTACCCTCGGGACGCGAGTAAATAGTTCGGCGATATCTTCATGTGCTGTAAAAAGAAGAGAAAAGTCAGGGTGTCGAAAGAATCCACTCGATTATGTAAAAAATAACAATGATAATTGGGCTTAATTTATTGTAAGAAAGGGCGCCAGTCACGCATGTGACGCCTGAATATATCATACATTAATAATGAATCGACGGATTATAAATACGGCCTTTGGACATGCGTTCGACATAGGATATTCTCCCGATACAATAATCACACGAAATTAGGCCACCGCGGCTAGACACGGCAGATACGGCGATCGTAAGTTCGGGGCTAGACGAGGACGACGTCGAGAGAGATCGAGCCTACACAATAATACAATATATGGCGCATGCACGCGAGAGAGGTGTAGGCGACTTACATTTGCTGACGCTGATTATTGGGCAGGTGATACAGGCCAAATTGATTGCAGAAAAGCGAGGGCAGACGAGAGGAAAGCCAGGCGGTGATGGATTCGCAGCAGGTAGCTCGCACGCACACAACACAACCGAACTTGATACAGAACCACAGCAGTAGCGTCGCTGAGCGCAGACCAGCACAGAGTGCTCGCACAGTCTCTCGCTGCGGATTCGGCGCTCTGGTAAACGGCGCCGATCCAAGTTTCATACCGGGCTCGCGATACTCGGATCTCTCTCTCTCTCTCTCTCGGTAAGGGTCAGGATACGGATAAAAGTAAGAAGTACCGCCGGACTTTGTACTGGCCGTCTACTTCCTTACAAGAGTTAATATAATTTTAGGGCTTATGCAAGTATGTACATTTACATGTATTGTTTTGAGATTAGTGTCTTGGCTATCTTGTTTTAAGAATATGCTGTGACAAGGCTGAGCAGCTCACAACATATATGAAAAATTCCTTGAGTAGTTTTATATCTCGAGTTGCTGGGTTGTTCATGTAGTACTCTGTGTCCACCCTGTAACTGTGGGCACATGACCTTATGTGATGCTCCTCCCTTTCCTGTTTGAAAGCACTGCAGTCAAAGAGCCAATGCAAGATGCTGACGTTGTCGATGTTGCAGTAGTGGCATGTGCAGTTGATTTCAAATTTATAGCTTGCTTTTTTGAGTATAACTCTTGCTGAATGGATGTTAATTAGTTTCAACTGAGCCATGAATTTTTTTAGTTTGAGTGGACAGTTTCTGGACAGGTAGGAGTCAGCATTACAGCGAACTGGTATCCAGTTATTGATCAAGAGGGAGGTAGAATTCTCCATTCTCTCTAGGTCTTTATTTCGCAGGTGCTGTGCATATTTCTTGATTAGACTTTTCCTTGCCTTGGCGCTGGAGAGAAGATTCAAGTTTTTTCAGATGTTCAATTCGCCCATGGGCTCCAAGAATATAGAGTTCACTTGGGTCACCCAATTGCTTTTATTATTATTGTTGTTGTGATTCTCTATGAGTTTTTGCAGACATATTTTCGGGTATCTGTTCGGCTCCAATCCTATTGCGTGGCAGGTGAAATTGAACGTGAGTTTCAGTATTTTCACTGATATGTGCTCTCTTCTGGCTTCTAGGCGCACAGCATATCCAGGCGTGCAGTCAGGGAGAGCCAATACTCTCTTGAAAAACCTGCATTGAAATTGCTCCAGTAATGGCAAGTACTGGATGCTCCATATATGGCTCGAATAATAAAGGGTTGAGGCCACAAGCGATTCGAAAAGGTTGTTTATTTGCGACCATGAGTTCATTTCGGTGCGGTTTATTAGGGCGGCCACAGGGTTTGCGGCTAGTGCTGCCTTTTTTCCTTATGCTTCTTGCTGCAGTTTCAAATGTGCTATTCTTTGTAAAGTCGATTCCTAAGTATGTGTATTTATTCACAATTTCTAACTCTTTCTTTTGAAAGTAGAACTTTGGATTTTCTTTGCTTGCGCAGCCTTTTTTGAAAATTATTATGTTTGTTTTCCTTATATTGACTGTAAGTTTATTCAATAAGCAATAGGATTCCAACGCTTTGAGAGTTTTTTTCACCATTGCTGGTGTCTCAAGCGTGATGGATATGTCATCGTCATATGCCAACAAGAGTATGTCTGTGTTTTGCTTGATCGTTATTCCTCTTATGTCTTTTTTTCGTAAGTATTCTTCGAGGTCCGCAATGAATAGGTCAAATAGTGTGGAGCTCACAACCTCCCCCTGGAGCAATCCCTCAGAGATGTCCATCAAGTTCGTTTTACTGTACTTATTTTTTACCGCCATTTTTGCGCTCGTATATAGCTTGTGAAGAAATTGCAGAAATTTGTCACTCACGCCCATGCGGCACAGCTTCTGGAATAGCAGGGCATGGTTGACAGAGGGGAAAGCTCTCTTGAAGTCCACAAAGACAACGTATGTTTTAGCTTTGGGTTTCTGCAACTGTGCTTGAATGATTGTAGACAGGGTGAATATGTTATCTTGACAGTCTCTGCCCCTCCTGAAACCCGATTGAAATTCCGGGAACAGATTATTTGTCTCACTCCACTATTCAAGGCTATTCAAGGTGTGATTACAAATACTTCAATTTTTACGGAAGATGTAAAGAGTGTTGGACTTATATATACGGTGTGTGCAAAAAAGAGCCAAACAATTCTGATGTTAATATTCTCAGGTTTAATTCTCAGGTTAATTCATAAATATATAAAAGAATCATTGGTTTCCGTCTTCGCATATCTCAGCATCAAACTCTTAACGTCTATGCAATCGAAATGCTTACAATATTTACTTATTCCATAACAGCTAAACGAACTGAAAAATTACGGCCATAAGGCTTAAAAAATACAGTATATTTTGTTTTGTTTGTTTGACAAACTTTTCCTGAAAAAGAAAAGATATTAAAAAAAACATATATTTGCAAGTGTACCTGATTACGTTTCACTTCATCCTTAGTCCTTAGTCCTTAGCTGTGGTATTGAAACTGGTGAGTAGGTGCAGAAATGTACAATGCTTCGTCTCTCTCTCTCTCTCTTTCCTGCTCCATACTTACAAGGCGAGCGAATCATAAAATTGTAACAAAATGGATGAATTTTTATTTTTACTTAAATTTTTGTGCTAAATGGATTTTTTCATCGTTTTTTGTAGGAAATCAGTTATTTGATGGTCATAGATTATGCCGGCATACTTTTTACACAAAAAATTGTATAA